TAATGTGTATGAAATAATGTGTGTAATGTTTCATTTATGTGTGTAAATATAAATATGGATGTGTGTAAGCATACCAAAATCCTCCAAAGATAATGCATTTCTTTCTTTTTTTAATAGAAAGAATATGAAATTTTTCTATCTTCTATTTTTCAATATCTTATATCTTATATAATATGACAAGGTTTTTTTTAAGAATCTCTATTATCATGCCATTTGGCATCCTATGCATATGACATGTGTCCCTCTCCAATTAATGGTAATTAGTGGTGATTAATTTGTAATTATATTGTAGAAATAAATGGATGATTTTGAAAACTACCCTATTTTTTAGTTTTCGTTTGAAAAATACCCTTTTTCAATTTCTAATGAAAATTACAAATTTTTATATGTAAAATGACAATTTCATCTATATTTAAATTGAAAGCTGTATTTTTAGTAAAATTATAACTAAATTAGAAAATTGAGAGAAAAAATTAAAATAATATTAATTATCCTTATAATTATTTTTTGAGATAAAGATAGTTTATTTATTTTATATATTAAATTTAATAAGATAATATCTAAAAATATTAAAAAGTCTATAAGTCTATCCCTTAATATTGTATAAACAAACAAAACTCAACGTAACAATCAAATTCTTCAACTCCAAAGTCTGCTCCAATTTCAAGGTTAACGTAGATTACGACTTAACATTGGTAGAATGATGTAATATACATGTATCATTGATTAAATCAACGTACGGCTTATAGCTCTAACATAATATTCTTTGTTTTATTTACATGTGTTATCGATTAGAGATGAAGTACCAAAAACTAATGGAAATCCAATCAAAAGTAATTTTAGTCAAGAGATTTTAAAAGTAATGATGAACTATTAAATTTTAATCAAATGTAGGAACATGAGTCACTTGATAGGTGAATTCACAATTATTTTAGATTGTTTAAAAGAAATATTTAAGATAAGAATTATTAAAATTATTAGTTATTTCAAATATTAATTTCAAAACTAAATTAATAGATTTTCTGTTTGATGTATAAATTCTTTTTAATTAATATTAAATAGCCATTTTGGTAATTTAGTGGGTGCTATTCAATGATGGAGTTAAAGTCAGTTCTTTAAAGTTTAGATTTGCTTTCTGAGATTGTTTTTAAGAATCTGTTTGTGTGGATTTCAAAATCTCTGCAGTATATCTTGGATTGTTTACTCATGAAACTCCAAAGAGATTTCATTTCAAATGATTTAATATACAAAGATTTTACAAGTGTTTTAGTTTTGAATAACACTGGATTTTAATGAAGTATTTTAAATCTTAGTTAAATCTTATTTTTGAAAATACACAAAAGAAGGGGACATTTTTTAAATATGGCACACCAAAAAGTGCATTTTCAAAAATAAAATATAATAATAAGGTCTTGCAAATTATTTATTATAAAGTGAAGGGATAATATGAAATAAATAATATAGCATCTTATCTATTTCTAAACTATTTTAATTTTTCTTATAACTTTGAATGATGAAAAAAAAACAATGACAAAATTTAGGATTTTTTTTGAGCATTTAAAGACAAAGAAAAAAGACCACATGTCGTGAAAAAGAAGTTAAGAACTTCATGACAGGCTCATTTTTTAATTAGAATTAATGGTCAAACCATTATCTACACTTTTGTTATAGAAAAAAAGAAGGAGAAGATGATGATAGAGTTGAAGGATAAAATCTAATATTTGAGATTATGATCACTGATTTTTTCGTTGGAAGATGGATATTTTTTCTTTTCCAAAAAACGTCTACTTTTTATTCTTTGTTGACCTTTTTCCTTCAGAAAAAGTTTATTACATACTAATTTTTACTTTCAAAATAAATTTTATAATGTATATGCCAATACTTTCTATTTTTAGCCACTCTACGTACTTTACCTTTCTTTATAACAAAATTCTTAAACTCATAACAAATGGAATAACTAAAGTGTTAAACAAATTCATGTATAATTATTCGGAAGGACATCAAAACCTATTATTGTATTATTTATTTTGCAATTACATTTTTAATCAGTATCCCACGCATCGCGTGGGTTTCTCTCTAGTTGAATATATGACCAAGAATATTGGAAAATTTCCAAGAATATTGAATCTTAAAGGTTGTGCTCCTTAGTAAGATGAATGCAGATCTCATTGAGCTTATTATACTTGATCAGGCCCGGCCCTATGGTAAAGCAGGTGAAGCATTGGCTTTAGGCCACATTATATTTAAACAATTATAAGGCCACATTTAACTAAAATGGTCGTGCACTTAGGTAATAGTCACCAGCCAAGTTCGAAACATATTAGTTAGACAGCTCTTTTTTTTTGGACAAAGTTAGACAGCTCATTTTCTGTCTTTACATCACTTTACTTTGTTTTATATTACATATCACATATGTGGCCCTTATTAATATTTCTTCTACAATAACTTTCTTTTTTCTAACTCCTAACATTCTAAATTTCTTGCTGTCAAAAAAAAAAAAAAAAAAATTCTAAATTTCTTAAATATATTCTTAAAAACCTATAATAATATTACAAAACTTGGAAGAATTCTCCACATCTGTTTATATCAAGATTTTATAATTGTTAGCTAATTAGATATAACTAAAATAAAAAAAAATTTGAACCATATGAGGTATTAAATAATTTCTCTCATATTTTTAAAAGTATATTTTGTTAAAATATAGGTTTGAACATATTCTCTGAAAAAAAAATTTAGATCTTATTATTTTCAAAAAAATTCATTTTACTTTGTATACAATGTAACTAATATTAAAAATATATAAAAGTTAAATATAAATAAATTTGGTACCTTAAATATTAAGGCCACATTTTTAAAAATGCTTTAGGCCTCTATAAGTTTAGGACCGGCCCTGTACTTGATGAGTTCCCTAGATAATATCGTGCCAGCTGCGATGTTGTCAACGACTATAACACCATCATGAACATCTTTAAAGAAAAAAAATATACATTTAGAAAAACAAACACAAATGATGAAAAGAAAGTTGAAAACAATTAAAAACATGATTTAAAAGTTGATGATGTCTTTGATATCGCATATTTTTCCATGGCAGTAGTATTTTTAGATTGAGGCTTTTTAATTACTTTAGAATCTCTAAAACAATTTAAATAGTGGTAAACAGATCTCCATTTCGATTTCATGAAAAAACCAAATGTTAGGTTGTATATCCTCAAAATATTGACTTGCATTGCGAATTGACATGATATCACTCTACTGTGGTCTACAACGATCCAACTAATCTTGGTACATATTATAATCAGAGCTGGCCTGAGATTAAATGGGCCACGAGCTAAAAATAACATTATGGACCGCTAAGTGTGAATTAAAAAAAATCTAGTGTCGTTTATCGAACCAATCACCCCACAGTCTAAAGCATAAGTGTTGAAACGCCGTATTCCGGCGACCAGGATACTAGAATTGGATAGTTATGGTGTTTGCAACATAACTTATGTTAGTTCGGAAATGTCTCTATGTGATGGTAATACTTCATGTAGCTAACAAAACATTTTTTAAAGTCTGAATGTGTGACTATGTGATGGCGTCTCTTTCGTGTAGGTTGCAAACATTTTTCCTTTAATATTTAGTCTAATGAGGACAGGAAATAAATGCTTGATTAGCTTCCTCTCAAGGTCGGCTTTGCTTTGGGTTTATGTTGTCAAAGCAATCCAACGTGATGGTTATTGGTTAGTGGTAGATTAACAACAAAAGCATCAATGAAATTGGAAAGTGCACGACCGCTAAGAAAAAAGGCGAATCTGAAGGCTTTACGTCAAGTATTGCATGGATGTAAACTTAGTGTTGCCTTCCATGTTGACGATGTAGGGTAATGTATGTGGAACAACTAGATTTGAGAGAATCATTGAGGTGCCAACAGAAGTCAGAGACATGATTGGCGCGATCTAGGCTGTTCCGATTACGTTTATTGAGATTGATTTTGTTTGGGGTAAACTTCGGCCACAAAATAAGAAACTGAATGCCATCAATGAATCAGCCCCAAGGTTCAAGGCCCAAGGCATGAATTCCTCTTCTCTGAAAAAGACAAAACTAGGTAAAGATCTCTTGGAAATGTAGAGTTATCATTGCGAAACTTAGAAGCTACTGACTAGTCCAATTTCCAAAGGACATATCAGTGGCTTCTAAGTTTGCACGACATGTCGAAAGTAAGTCACCAATCCTGTCAAACCATGATGATATCGCCTGTCTCGTCCGACGTGGCTAGGGCTGGTCGACCCATATCTAGATCCAACAAAGGCTTAAATTAGGTATTTCTATAAATAAGTCGCCTAGAAGGGTTCATAGAATTATTAAATTTAACAAATCTTAGTTTATCATTCAAATAGATTAAGCTCATAAAAATACATCGGGACGCATTCCCTTCCATTTCGAAAAGATTTCTTTATACATAACCGAAGCGTACGAGTACGTGTTGATATAAATTTATAGATATTAAAATAAATCAAACACTTACACTACGAATATAGCCGTATATATACATATTAAAATCATATCATTGAGTTCAAGAAATATGGTTTATTATTTTTATTAATAATAGCTTTGAGTTCTTAAAATATGGTTTATAAACCCCATTAGTCGTTTGACATAGGATACAACTTAAGACTACTATTTATTAATTCTCCTATTTCTGCTAACACCTATTTTGATAGGAAATCTCTCATTTATCTATTTTTAGGGAAGAAACAAATAGTAAAAGATTGCTAGGAGTTAGAACATTCAGATGTTAGATGAAATAACAAAAGTTTTCCTAATATAGATTTAGTTGACGGACACGGTGGTGAACCAATGAATTTTAACATCAATAATTAAAAAAGGTTTAACCAATCATTCCTCTATTGCTTCCTACCACATCTATATTTGCATCACACGATCGTTCTTAAGCTAAAACCAAACCCCTTTCAATCTCAATCTAATTTTTCAATCATCCTCTTTTTTTTCCTCACCTCACAAATTACTCAATTTAAAGTTGTAAATATTTTTTGAGGAGAACAAGAAGGTGGTAGTACCATTTTCACAATGTTCGCGGAAGCGGATAGTATTCCTAGGGCAAAATATGCCAATATGATGCATTCTGACCCGAATCTTTCCTCCACGATGACTAACCAAACCGAGGAAGAGTACGGTATACGGAATAGCAGTGCATCTGCGGTTGGCACGGGAATGTATGATAGAATGAGTTGTGAAGGTTCTCCAATGATGATGTCTCCTTGGAACCAAGCAACTCCATTTACTCAAACACAATGGTCTAGTGTAGAAGAAAATCTACCCCAAAATGGCCTTATTGGCTCGCTTGTCCGTGAAGAAGGTCACATCTATTCATTAGCGGCGACAAAAGATCTTCTTTATACTGGTTCCGATAGCAAAAACATACGTGTGTGGAAGAATCTAAAGGAGTTCAGTGCATTCAAATGTAATAGTGGATTGGTAAAGGCCATTGTTATTTCAGGGGAGAAGATTTTCACAGGTCACCAAGATGGAAAGATTCGTGTTTGGAAAGTTTCTCCTAAGAACCAGAGCTTGCACAAACGTTCTGGAACATTACCAACTTTGAAAGATATATTCAAGGCATCTCTTAAACCAAGAAATTATGTTGAGGTGAAGAAACATCGCACTGCTCTTTGGATCAAACACGCCGATGCTGTTTCATGTTTAAGCCTAAATGATGAACAAGGGTTGTTGTATTCTGCTTCATGGGACCGGACCATTAAGGTGTGGAGGATTGCTGATTCAAAATGTCTAGAATCAATCCCTGCTCATGATGATGCTGTAAACTCGGTGGTATCAACAACTGAAGCAATTGTTTTTTCTGGATCAGCTGATGGGACAGTCAAGGCATGGAAGAGAGACCAACAAGGAAAATACACAAAGCATACACTATTGCAAACATTAACAAAGCAAGAGAGTGCAGTCACAGCTTTGGCTGTAAGCAAGAATGGCGCAGCGGTGTACTTCGGTTCGAGTGATGGTTTGGTCAATTTTTGGGAGAGGGAGAAACAGTTGAACTACGGTGGCATTCTCAAGGGCCACAAGCTTGCTGTTCTTTGTCTAGAAGTGGCAGGGAGTCTTGTGTTTAGCGGATCTGCTGATAAGACAATATGTGTGTGGAAGAGAGATGGAAATATTCATACATGCCTCTCTGTACTAACAGGTCACACAGGTCCTGTAAAATGTTTGGCAGTAGAAGCAGATCGTGAAGCCTCAGAACGTCGAGACAAAAAATGGATTGTATATAGTGGAAGCTTGGATAAGTCAGTGAAAGTATGGGGAGTTTCAGAATCTTTCATTGACATGAACCAAATGAGTATGATGCAGCAGCAACAACAACATGTTATATCACATTCTGAACCTTTCATGTCTGATGGAAGTTTCTCATCATCAGCTGGTGGAGCTAGCAGTCATCGAAGACACTAATCATGGTTTGTTATTTGCCTTTCAAAATACCAACTCTGTCTAAATTATTCATTTGTTTTATTGTTAAATTTGAATTTAAAAAAAGAAAAGAAACTTCTAGTTTTATGATGCAGTATTGTACAATATGGAATTGAGTTTGAACTACTTCTTTTTTTTGTTTATTATAAAGGTTTGTTGTAATTTTCTTGTATTTTGTGATGGAAACCTGTAACTCTTTCAAACTTGATAATAATTATTACTGTTGTAAACTTGAATAATAGTTCATGCATTTCGTAAGCGTTTTCTTGCATTTTTTTAGTGTGGCTAATTCAATAACAAACAATCACTCAAGTTATATTTAAAACTAAGAAAATAGAATAATATTTAACAAAAAAATTAGTTTACATGTCTTTTATTATATTATTGTACTAAGATTTAATCCGCGATATACAGAGGAACAACTTTTGTTTCATTCAATTTTTATTAAATTAGCCTAATTTGACAAGTCTAATTAAATGAGGATTTAACCCGTATCGAAGCGTCGGATTAATAATATTTTAATTTTGTTAATATCGATTCAAACTCATCACGCCATATATCTTGTCCCGTAATATAACGTCCCATGTTATTTTACACTTTTCATATATTGAAATATTCATAATAATTTAAACTTAATAAATATATCATTTCTACTATTTAAAACTTTTTAAAAGTTTAAAATTTGGGGGATTAGCAAAAATACCCCTTTTCTCATGCCCCTTTTCAAAAATGCCCCTTTTAGATGTCCATTTTCAAAAATGCCCCTTTTTAAATCTGAAATTTTTATAAAGTTTTATTAGGTTTATAAGGTACTTATGGATTGTAACTACTACTTGAAGACTCGATCCAAGTATTTATAAGGTTTTATAAGGTGTTTTTAAAGGTTTTACAAGTTATTTTAAAGGATTTTTAAGGTTTTTCAAAGGTTTTACAAGATATTTTAAAGGTTTTTAAAGGTATTTAAAATGCATTTATAAGGTATTTATAAAGTATTTATAAGATTTTAGATACATAGAAATGTAGTTTGTGTATGTTTTAATAATATTACATACATATTTGGGTATCTTATATTTTTAAGAGCATTTTTTATAAGGTTTTAAAAAAGGGGTATTTTTGAAAAGTGGCATTGAAAAAGTAGCATTATTAACAATTTCCCTTAAAATTTACTATATCCGATTAGTATCCGATAAAACAAAATAGGTTTTCTTGGGTCAAAAAATTGTTCAACTAAGAAACTGAAATACAAACTTGTAAATTTAGATGCTTGTTCAGTTAAGCTTCTTCCTCATTCTGATTATTCATCATTATCTTATTTATAATATGGTTCTCAATCATTCTTTAAACACTTTAGCTGATGTGGAATGTTGAACACACACACTTTTATTAACTAATTAATCTATATCCATTTTTTAAAATTCGAATAACAATATATGCAGAAAAAGTTAGACTTTTATTAACTTTATGTATTATACTAGGATATGACCCGCGGTATACCGCGGGTTTAATTATTTGATTTTTTATTTTATAAATTGATGAATTTGTTGTGTATAATATTTTTTGTTGTACACTGCGGATCGAGTTTTTGTAACTAAAATTTCGTTTTGTGTTTTAAGATTATATAATTGTATTTTGATTGTTAATTCTAACAATTGCCCGTAGTAAACCGTCCAATATTAATATCGACTCAAACTCGTCCCACCATGTAACCTTGTCCCGTGAAATTAAACATAATTTTGTTATTTTTCTTTTCAGTAATACTTTTATTTAAAAGGATTTATATTTTATAGGTTACGGTAAGTATGATGTAGGCTTCATTTATAAACAATTAGATAAAAAATACATATTTTATTAAGTCACGGTGTACCGCGGGTATAAATTTATATATGTATAATTTGTCAGTATAAAATAATATTCTTTTAATTATATAGTTTATTATTTGTTGGTTACAGATTTTGTTTCTGTTTCCTATATAATAGGTCAATTAATTATAAAAATTAACAATTCACAGTTGATATAAACTGATTTATTGGAAAAAAAAGAAGATTAACACTTATTTTGATACTAGATCATGACCCGCACGTACGTGCGGAGTTTCATATTTTAAAATTTTTTTAACAAAAATTTAATTCAATATAGATTATTTTGTTGTTTTATGATATATATTTTAGTTTAGTAGATCTGGATCCACGTACGTGTAAAAATATTTTTATAGAAATTGTAATATAGATTTTAAAAATATAAAATATTTTGTTGTATTAGTGAACTTCGTAATAATATAAATATTATAACGTTAGAGTAATGAACAAAAAATTCAGTTGCGTGCATAATTATATTTTAAGATCCAGACTAATTTAGTTGCAAAAGTTAAATAGTGTTACATTTGTATTTTCTTAACTAATCAAAACAGTTCTAACAGTTTGATTACATATGTTAAATAGGATATGAATTCGGTTTTAGTTTGGGTTATTTCATGTATATTAGCAAGGCGTAACTATTTTGGAACAGGAAACATATCCTGTCCGGTATCTGTAATAAATTCTTTGTCCCATAACCTGTCACGTACACGTAAAATAAAAATATAACGGTCCCATATCTGTCATAAATAGAGTATGTGTAACTGAAAACGTATGTACAGGGTTATGTGTGTAAACAAATTTATTTTATATAGTGCTCATAACCCGAACTCATGCCAGTTGGGTATTTAGTTTGATTTTTAATATATGTTCCCCTTCCATCTCGTCTCGTAATTTCTATTTCTATTTTATTCCATTAAAATCATATTCCAAAGTCTTGTTTGCTTACCTTTAAATACCATACAATATTACAATATATACTGTGAGTTTTGCGGATTAATATGTATGCTGTTAAAGTTATAAATATATTTTAACAAATTTATTAATGTTTCTAGCTAAATTTTGCATATTTTTCTTTTCATTGTTTAATTATAATTAATTCGATTTTTGGGACTAAAATTAAAATTTGAGATCCCCTATATATTAATTGAGAAGCATTTTAAATAAAAAACATTACCTTCACGTGGGATTTACAAGACTGCCATGCTGACATGTCGCAACCAGAGAAACTCTCAGCAAACTTAATATTGGTCCAATATTTACTAGACTAATTACATATAATGCCATTAGTGGTACTTATGCATATTTTTCCTCTATATTTAAGAGATTAGCAATTAATAAAGGAAATTAATTAATAAAAACTATATATATTGACGAAACAAGTAAAAAGTATATAGCATAAATCATGATGAACAATATATAATATAAATGTTTATTATATGTTTTGTACTTATATTTTTTATATGTTTTATAAAAAACATTTAGAATTTTAACATATATGACATTCTATTTTTTGTTATAAATTACAAAACATCTAAATGTATATGTGAGCCCATATGTTTCTTAAATATATTTGGAACATAGTTTTACATAAATTAGTTAGTAACATTTCATTTATTACACATTCACTATGAACAATATTTCAATATTAATCTATGTTAAAAGTGTATCCGCTTACTCATTATTTTCAATATTATTTCTTTTCAAATTTTTACCTTATCAATTTATTAAAACTTTTACACGGTTTATTCAATTTAATTAGTCATTTACTCATTTTAGTTACAATTTATTTACAACCCAATACCTTATCGTAACAATATAAATTGATTCATAAAATGAGGGATATGCAATAAATCAATCCTAACTACATAGAATTATCAAGAATAATAAAGGATAATAAAATTTTATTACGTTTAAAAAATAATTATTCATACTATTTTCAGTTTTTATATTGAATTGTTTCCAAAATAAAATCTTAATTAAAATACAAAAAATATTCGAATATATTTCAGAATTATAGGAATGATATTTCAAAAAAAAACTTTGGTCAATATTTTAATTTAAAATCTTATTCCAAATATGGAATATCCTAATTCCTAACTAATAAAATCTCCAAAATATATCAGTTACTAAATCATATTCAAATATTCATACTTATATATCAAGTGATAATATATAATCGGTTTCCAAAAAATTGTTTATATATTTCATATAACTATTTCTCCCCGCACATAGTGCGGGTAAATCATCTAGTACATCTATAAAAAGGATATGCTATTGGTGCATAATTTGTTTTGAATGCAAAATATATAATTAGTTCACATTATTTCGAAAACTGTGTGCAATATATTATAGATTTGTTTAAGGAAGATCCGGTTGAGAAGAAAAAAAAAGAAAACACAAAATATTTCGAAATTAATATGTAAAATATTTTGTTTAGATATTTTCGAAACTTGCTCTAAACGAATGCCATAATGATAATTACTTTAAATTTATCATTATTTGAGTTTATTTCATAGTAAATATAAATATTTGTTAATATCTAATATCGTTTTTTTAGAAATTTTGAAATAAAATTTGGTTTTTTATTTCAAAATTTGTGAAAATATTATAACAAAACTGAGTCTTAAATATTTGTATTTAATTTTTTTACAAAATTTCAAATTTAATCTTAAAATCCTCCATTGATAAAACTTTTTAAACGATAGTGTTTTTAATTTTGAATTAAAATGTTATTTTTTTTTTTGATATAGAATAGTTTATTAGGATTGGTTTAGAATTTAGATAAAATTTTAGTTGGATATCAAATCTTAGTTTTTTAATCCTCATTGGTTAACAACTTTTTAGAAAAAATAAAATAAATTTTCGTCCATAATTAATATGAGAGAGAAAGTGAGTTTAATTTTTTGGAAACTAAAAATTACTTTAAAAAAATTTACTATTTTTTATTTAAATATATTATTTTGTGATTATTATTGTATCTTTAATGAATTTATTTAAAAACAAAAACCAATGGCATTTTTGTAATACTTTACACTTTATAAGGTTATTTATGTTTGAGTGCTTCCCAATTAATAGTATAGATTATATAATGTTGATTTTTAAAAGACCTAAAAAAAAGTTGTGTTTTTTGTAACAAAAAATTTTAAATTGTGTATTTGTTTTGTTAATGTTGTTTGTTTTGTTTAGTGTTTAAGATTGTATAATTATATTTTGATTGTTAATTCTAGGATTTCACCCATGGTATATTGTCCCATATTAATATCGATCCAACCCCTCCCGCCATATAAGCCTGTCCCGTGATAAGTAAACATCATTTTTCTTTTTAATAATACTTTTATTTAAAATATATATAATTTGAGTCAATTTAAAAGTTTCAATCTAACTAATTAAAACTTAGT